ATGTTTTTAGAAACTAAAAGGGTATTAACTATTAAAGACTTAAATATTGAAAATACTAAATGATTTTTTTAAAATTTTGGAGATGAATAATCTATTGTCATTACCATGAATTTTCATTTTCTTAATGATCTAAAATACAAAAAATTCAATAGATATAATTTTAATGAATGGATTCATGTCTTGAGAGACAATCTCGTGAGAGATCTGAAATAGTACATTATTAAAGGCCCTATTCCTAAACAACACGCACTTACCAGTAAAACAGAACATGATGCTTTGTAGAAGCATTACAATGATGCGGAAGATATTTCTAACAACATGCTGGAAAATGTAAATTCAGAACTTCAAGGAGGTCTAAGTGGATTTAGAATCATGTCATATGTTTCGTCAGGTATAACATATATTCCTAAAATACAGTGATATTTGGTATGAACCGGTTCAAAATTTGGATAGAATGCAATGCTAAAAAGGTCACCATATGTGATGTAAGAAACATATAGTTTATTGAAAGGACAGTTTTATGCTAAATAAATCCAAGAAGGCCCATAAAGATGGATCTTGTTACTTCTATGAAAAAACATGATACTGGAAGAGGAACTGATCCTTTATCTAAAAAGAAAGTCTGGAGAGACTAGTACTTAAAGTATCTCCTAGATAGAATTTATATTTTTCATTTAACGCTTACGTACTTGATACTTAATGTTAATCAAATATTTGTAAATGGCTTGCATATATTTCAATAAGAGTAACCAAGTGAGCACAAACAAGTTGGACCTACACTCACAAAGTTTAGTTTATTATTTACGTTTGGAACATAAAGCACTTGTATTGTAAAACAATATTTGTTTTGAAACAATATATGTTTTTAATTTATCCTGTCTAAATATATGTCTCGGTTAATTTATTAAAAATTGATTGTTTACTTAAATCGTTTTTCATAACGATCACTTCACATCCTGTAATGATTACCTTCTATCTTTGAGACTAGATCTCTTAAATATAATTATAAAGTAAATATCAATGTTGTCTAAATAATAAGTTCTATATGCAAACATTTTTGAATTAAACTTGTTTTAAATCAAACTTATCTAAGACACAGTTATCTTTATTATATAAATGATATTCACATATTCCAACTTCAAGAAATGGATTTTTGAAGGCAAATAATGTAGTTTATCTGACATATGTAAATCTTGTTTATATATAAAATATTCATAATGATATTTTCACTAAACTGTAGAGAAAATAATTATTAAGTAACTATACACTACGATGTATGAATTCATTTCTAATGAATGTCTAAGATTAAGCACATGAAACCAAATCGACTTTATTAACAACTATAGTCGTTGTAATTATATTTTACATGTTAATATATAAGTGTGAAACATTTGTCGAAGTTTGCAAATATAAAGTTGAGATACAAATCAGTAGAACCATCTAAAACCTTAGTGATAATAAATTATGAATTAAACCTTACTAGATATGGTTTACTTTCTAATCGGTAGAAATTGTTTTCCTTTATTCTTTTTAGGATTATGCATTAATCATTATCACTTATACTTTGAATACAAACACCAAATAATGAGTAGATAAGAAACTTTATAAGATTTAGTATGGAAAGGCTCCATCCTTATCTTAATGTTTTGTGGATTTAAAGCATATGTTAAAGCTTCTAAACCCCAAATCTACTAATTACATATTTGTATAATAATCTAAAAGGTTTCTTAGATTATTTATATAAATCTACCAAGAATAATTTATCTTATTCCTCTGAAATTTGGGTTATCAGAAAGCAAGCTTCTAATGAAAAACCAAGTGGGAGGCACAAGGAACTTGAAGCATCTCAAGAACCTTAGCCTGATGTAGAAGCAGTTAGCATTAGTTTTCAACAAGGAATTGTTGAGCATGAATAACAACTATCCATACATGTTATTCACATATTTGATATAAATCATCTTTAGCATAAGAAATATGGAATCTGTTATTGATGATTTTTTTTCTTGATGGTTTATGGCAAATCCATCAACTACTAAAATGCTATATCAGGTCTTGAACTTGATAACGACTTAGAGTCATGAACACTGAGATGTAATCCATGTATAATAATCAAGTGTAGACTTGATTAATCTTCCTTCTTAAATCAAGGTTAGAAGAAGTAAGTAATTATTTTAAAAAGAATCCAAACACAGAGATCTATGCACATTTTTCAAGATTTGTTGTTAAAGGCTTTAATCACACTCATGTCAATGACTATGATCAAACTTTTCCTCGAGTAGCTATGATTAGATCAAAAAGGATATTATTTCCCATAACTAGATATTCTTAATATGATATATGGAAACTAGATTTAAAAAAACGCTTTTCTTAATAGACACCTTCTTGAAGATGTCCATATAGCTAATGTCACACCGCGCTAAAGCGGAAACACGGGACGCGACTGTACAACGGGTCTCATAGAAAAAGTTAAAATACAACACCAACCACAGTATTAAAAGTTTTACAGTTTACAATAAGTTTGAACAACTTTTAAAAGTAATTACAACGTATTAAAATAGAACAACACATGCAAATGCTCCTACAAGTGTTGTGTCTCTACGTGCCTCTTACTAGGTGATTCCTGAAAAAGCGTGTAAAACGAGCGTCAACTATAAAAATAGTTGGTGAGTTCACAAGTTAAAAATTATATTGGTTTCATGAATCGTAATCAAATTTTTGCTAGAAGGGTTCCATAAATAAAAGTACATTGCTAAAATGAGTAAATAAGTTTGCATAAACAAAGTTCGTTGTCATCATGAGAAATAAAATACGTTGCCAAAATGAGATGCAAACTTTTATATTCTCATGGGAAATAAAGCTTGTTGCTAAAACGAGTAAACAAGTTTCATTGTTAAAATGAGTATACAAGTTTCATTACTAAAATGAGTAAACAAGTTTCATTGCTATAATGAATAAATAAGTTTGTATGTATGTAATGATCTTTGTATGCGCGTAACAATCAACAATGAGTTCACAACCAAGCCTATGACTGATGCCCTATCAATATCTATGCTCATCATTCCATAGATGAACATGGTAAAATGCACTCAAGCAATTGGGCGAGTGAGGAGTTGTCGATTCCTAATAGCGCTATACATAATGACCATTGGCTCAAATAGTTAATGGTTGGAGTAAAGTGTAAGGGACTCAAGACAATAAGGCCTCATGTGTCAAAATTTTGATATTGATAAGTTACAAACATTTTTCGTGTGAAAATTAGATTTCCATGAATCAATTGTTATATAACAATATAAGTGGAAAATTCCCATTATTAAAATGTTAAAATTTAACATTTTAGGAGGTGTTTCAATGATTACATATTCAAAAACTAAATCAGTTTAGTTCTAAAATTTTCCAAACTTTGTATTTTAGTTCTAACTGAAGTCAAAGATTCCAAGATAAATTTTCTTGAATTTTTGATTTGTCTAACTATTTTTCACCATTTTAATTTCTTGAATAATCACAAAATCATGGAAAATAGTAAATGATCATGAAAAATTCTTAGCTTTTTGTGTAACTGTCACACAACATCCCTAAATTGGAAAAATTATTAAATGCTGCTTTTGATTAATAAAACCTGTCTTTTGCAATTTAATTGTGTTTTACATCAAGGAATTCTAATTAAATAGAAAATAGTAATTACAAATAACACAACTTTTTATTTATGTTCCAATTGTAGTAAAAGATCTCCAAAAAATGTTTCATGAATTTTAGATATGTATAGCCATTTTTCCTATATTTAATTCTCTAGATCGATATAAATTCATGAAAAATAGAAAGAAGTTAAGAAAATTCCCCAAAATTTGTACACCACTGTTATGAAACATATATAATCTGGGAAAAATATAAAAACTTATTTTCAAATAGTTAACATGATTTTTATGATTTTTGTGTATTTATCCTATCAAAATAGAGATAAATAGAAAAAAGTTTCAAAAATTCTCCAAAGGCTTTGTAGTAGTGTTATCAGATATATAAAAGCTGGAAAAAATATAAAATTTGGTTTTCAAATGGTGTAGCTATTTTTCATAGTTTTATTCATTTAAATAAGAATTAATTCGTGAATAATTATTAAACAGTTAAGGAAAATTATAAAACATTTTATACAATTCATACATGTTTTAATTAAGTTGGGAAAAATATCAAATGTGATGTTCATATACTGGAGACCGAGTTTTGGATTTATGTGTATTTAATCTTAGGAAAATAGAACAAAAATAGCATACAGAAGATAAAAATTATTCAACTTTTTATATAGCATCCTAATGTAATATAAGATGTTCTGGTAAATTTTCATGAATTTTGGATGAGTAAAACTATTTTTCCCGATTTTAGTCCATTATATACCCAAAAATCATGGAAAAATATAAATACATTATAAAATATCCCCAAAATATTTTTATGAGTATTTCACGCGGTGTAGGAGCTGCGAAAAATCATATATGGTCTTTTCACATTTTCTATCTTGGTTTTATGATTTATTGGGACTAAACAAAAGAAAATTTAAAAAGCCTACTAAACTGTCGATGAAACTTAATGAGAAGTCTTTAGACAAAATTGCAAGTTTGGTCCATGTTGTATGTCAAAAATTGGATGTTTGGTCCAAAAAAATTTGGGGTTGCACCGGTGGTCCAAAAGGTTTGATTTATTGTGGAATTGGTCCAAAGGCTTAACAGCCGTTTGTGCCCTCCGTTTGTGTGAGGGTATTTCTGTCCAAAAGGATTGATCTTGTAAAGTATTTGTCAAATAAGGGTAACTTTTGAATAAATTAAATTCAAGTTTGATTCCACTTTGACTTTTGACTGGTCAAAATAGGAAACCCGATTAGAAAGGGGTCAAGGGATTTTTTTTTGTTCGTTATTTGATCGATCGTCAATGGGAACGCAAAGGAAACGAATACAGAACATGAAGGGAAGAACGAAGGCATAATCGATTTGGAGGAAGAGGAGATTGGAACGGGAATGAACCGAAGGCAGTCAAGAAGAAGGCACACGAAGTCAACGAAGGTTCGATCGTTCTTCTGGCTGAAGGAAGAGAGTCTGATGGCTATTGATTTTTCGTCGATTGATTCGCAATCGGTGATGGCCGCCGACATTCGAATTAGGCCGAAGAAGAGGAAGGGAAAGGAGAAAACATTATTCGTGTTTGGGAAGATCGATGTCAAAAAACTACAGTTGAAATGGTTGCGAGCACAAATGGGACTCGTAAGTCAAGACCATGCGCTATTTGGAACGTCGATTTGAGAAAACATTATGTTTGGGAAGATCGATGCAACAATGGAGGAAGTAATCGCCGCTGCAACGGCTTCCAATGCTCATAATTTCATCTGGCAGCTTCCGGAAATATATGAAACGAAGGTCGGTGAAAGAGGGGCGCTTTGAGGTTAAGCACGCGAAATCCAGCCCAACAATGTTCGATTCTCTGATGCCTTTCAACGATCCACAATCACTATCATCATCAAATCACCCACCGCCTTCGTTATCCCGACTCCTTGCTCTAAACTCACCGGAATGGAAACAAGCGGTGATTGGGAGCTTAGCAGCGGCGATGTTTGGCCCTGTGCAACCGGTGTACGCGTTAACAGTAGGGAGAATGATTTCAGCTTTTTTTGTACTAAATCAAGAAGAGATGAATTCCCGAATAATAACTTACTCCATAATCTTCTGTTCACTTTCCATCATCTCTATCCTCGTTAACCTCTTACAGCATTACAACTTCACATACATGGGTGAGACAAAGTTACTTACAGGAGGAGATATCGATTTTGATTTTAGCAGGACGAGATATCGATTTAGGGAAAATGGGGAACACACGTTGAATCTATTAATAAGGGAAGTAGACGTTAGGGGGTTTAATTTAATAAGATATTAAAAGAAGGGGTGTGAATTGACAGAAATACCCTCACACAAACGGAGGGCACAAATAGATGTTAAGCCTTTGGACCAATTCCACAACAAATCAAACCTTTTGGACCACCTGTGCAACCCCAAAACTTTTTGGACCAAACATCCAATTTTTGACATACCACAAGGACCAAACTTGCAATTTTGTCGAAGTCTTTATTTACTTTATGGGTCATCTAAGAATTTATCTAGGATTTATGGACCTCAGAAAGTATTTTATATGATTTATGGCCTTGTTTCCTTGTAACAATTACAAAAAATTAAAGGAATGAAAACAACTTTTGGGATTTTCCAGATCTTCTTATTTTCTTATTGGGATGTTGGGAAAATTTGTTTTGAACAGAAAAGGAGATTTAGATTTTTTTTTGTGAATACAATTCTTTACATGCACTATTAACAATGTACTTTGATCATCAAGCCTTTAAGCTTGATGTTTATCACATGCATCACGGTTTGAAGACCATACATGGACATATTTTGTTCATAGTGATGTTTTCAAAGGAAAATTTGGATGCATGTGGTGGACAAACATTTAAAACTAGTAAAAATTCATATTTTAGGGTTTGACATAGGTTTTAATCATTGGATTTCACCATCAAACAACATGTATGTTGTTCTTGGGTGAAATCCTACCACATGAATGTTCATAAAGAATGGTGTATAAGAAGAAGAAAGTGTAATAAACTTTTAAAACTTTAAAGAAAAGTGAAAACGAGAGGAAAATAACCTCCAAGAACCTAGAACGCCATTTTTACCATGACTCTGATTTTGAGCTTCAAGAACATATAAGAACACCATAAATTTCATGGGTTTAGGGCAGATTATGGATGATTTTCGGATGGGTTTGAGAGAGGAAGAGAGAAATGGAGTGGTTGAGTGTGAGAGAGAAAGAGTGAAAGAAAAGTGAAGAGTATAGGGTTGTGTAAAATGATTAAATGTTTTGGGAAGATAATTTTTGAAGGAGGAGAGAGGGTGGCCGAAATTTTCAAGGGAGAGGGGCTTCCTTTCTCTTCCAATTTTATAAATTTCAAATCTATTATAAAAATACCAAATTTTTATAAAAATATGCACCTAATATAGTTTTTACTCATGAAATCTTGATTTTTGGCTTAGAAAATAAGGTTAAATATTAATGACTTAAATTTTATTTCTCATTGATTATATTTTACTAAATTTAGGTATTTTAAATTGATATTATGAAGTTCATACCAAATTTTATGGATTTTTAGGTGTTAAAGTTTATAAATTTGAGTTTTTAGGGTTTTTAGGGTCTTGAGATTTAATAAATCTTTGGATATCAAAATAAATTGAATCTTTGAGACTTTGAATTATTTTTGGGTTTCCTAACTCTTATTCAAGTAAGAAATAATATTTGTAATTTATTTTTTCGGTTTATTGACATTTCTATGTAGTGATTCCGAGATTCAAGCGAAATTGAAGAATTAAGTATACTATTTATAGTTTCAACTTTAACTTAAGTTCCTATGATACTTGGACCTAATTTCTACTTCTAGGTCAAGTGCATGAAGTGTCTACATGATTCATGCAAAGATGTTCGAGTTAAAGAATGAACCGAATATGGATAGTCACTACAGTTAAGTAGTTGTAGAATTCACATACCAATGTGAAATCTAAGTACACTATCCTTCGATTCTACTTGTTTCCAAGTTTCTAGTAGGTTATAACTTAGCTTCTAGTTATAAAGTCTAGTATGTGTCGTGCCTATATGTGCAACTAAGTTTATTCAAATCTAGAACTGTCTCAAATTTTGACGGTTGTCACAACTAAGCTTGGAGGTTTTCTTAATACATGTTATCTTAATAAAATGCATAACGATTAAGATCCATTTGTGGATATAAAGCAAACATATCAATGTTGGAATCCTCATTTTAATATATAAATACAAGGCGTGCTTTTATGTCAAAATGAAGATAGCATCTGTGTTTACTAAGAACTTGTGGGAGGATAGTGATATTCCTAATCTTGTATGAATGAGACATACTTAATCACGATAAATCACATTCCGACTATGAAAGATTGTTTCGCCTTGACTCGTAAAGTGTTTCTAAGATGAAAGACTTAGGAAATACAAGATGGATTCTTGGAATGTAAAATCTGCAGAGATAGATAAAGATGAATGTTAAGGTTTTATATTCTTATGCATATGTTGAAAATATCTTGAAGGAGATCAAGATAGAAGATTCATTTGGAGGACTCATGATATTGTCACATAGCACCATTTTGAGGTTGTCTCGATAGGACCTGACACATAGGTTGAGCTAGACAAAATGATTTATATTTAGTTTACTTGGCAAATGAATCCATCATTTATGTCATATTTTGCACAACAATAGGTATATAATAACGTGAGGAGCATATCATAAGATACTAATTGGATACATGGTTACGTCATTGGATGGCCATGAGTACATTCTAAGAGTAATTAAGAAGAACTAAGAGAATGTATATAAGTTATCAATTTAGAAGAAGATCTTCATGTAAAGTGATACACAAGATGCTAACTACAAAACACACACACACACACACATATATATATATATATATATATATATATATATATAATATAATATAATATAATATTAATATAATAAACCCAAAGATTTTCTTAAAAAAAGGACACGTCACATTAGAAATTATAAAATAATTAGATTGTGGGTTGGGCTCTAAACTATCTCAAACGTCGGGCTGCTTTGAATTATTATAATTATGTTTGGATCATTTATGTGTCCGATGAAGCATTTAAACATATCACAATTTATATGGATTCATCATTCATGAGATTTTTTGGCAGGCTGCCAGACTCCATTTTCCCATCTGGGTATTCATTTTCTGCCACAACAAAATGAAGTGTAGACCACAATCATTTTTTTGGACACTTTTATATTTTCACACACATGATACACACCGCCTCCATCTCTTCTGCCAGGTATTTCCCACTTTCATTTTTTTGCCAAGAAGAGAAGAGCAAATCTCTCTTTCCCTCTCACCCATCGGCGCCTCTCACAATCGTTCCACCTCCCTCAACCTATACACCGCAATCCTTCTCTGCCTCTTTCCTCTTAGTCACTGGTAATTAGGTTTTTGATTCTTTCATAAAGCTTTTTGAAAATCGAGTCTTCGAGGTCGTCAATATGGCGTTCCAAGTAAAAGTGATTAATAAACTAGAACCAGAAGCTATCAAGTTCTTCTCTTCCATTTTCTCTCTCTAGAAAATGATATTTCTTAGGCAAATGAAACTCGTTTTTTATATTGGTTACTTTTAAGCATCATATTACACCATCTCTATCTATATTCTCAAGCACTCGTACTACCACTAGTGATTCTTGCACACCACTGAAGAATCTTATTCTTACCCCGTCTTCTGGAAATCAAGTTTTAGTGTTGAGGTAAATCTCTAATTTGTGTCTGGTCCTTAAGTTTCTTATAGAGACTCTTATAAACCATGGATTTTGTTTCCCTTTTCATTCTCCTCCATGTTCTCACAAAACCCCCTCCATTATTTTTTTCCCTGGTCACAAAGAGTTTTTAATTTTTCTCTGTCCTTTCTCTTCCTCTTTCTCTCATTCTGTCAGTCAATAATGAACCATTAGTGCATTGAAGATTTCATCTGGTCAATCACTAATGTATAATTTCATATTGTTGGTTTGTTGATTCAATTGATTAAATTGGCTTTTTTTACCGTCATCTACTGATGTCTATCCTATTTGTTTTTTTAGAACGACAGAAATATATAAACACAAAAAAAAAACCAGCAAGAAGCTAGAAAGGAAGGTTCAACCAGCATTACAATAAGGTTAAAATTGGGTTTTTAAGCCACAACACCCAATTGAGATGAAACTTAGACCTACTGGAACACCAAATCTCTATTGTAATAAATGAATAGTTTTAATTTCCTTTTGCCAAGTGTCACTCTAATACAATTCCTCATTAATATTATGTCATGTGTCATGTAGATATATCAGACAACTAATTTCAAAATTCAAATTTATATTTTCTAATTATATGTTAAATTTGAAGTTATAATAACTTTAAAAATTTGATATATCTAATAATTAATAATTTATTTAAAATGACATATTTTAAAATAATTGATTAATAATTATAAATTTTTATTATAAAAGTTTAATTAATTTTATAACTGTGGTTCCCACGGGTTATAAACTAGTAAAAGAATAAGAAACTATGTCATAAAAATAAGACTCATTTTTGGAAGCTCATTACCAAAAATGGTCTTATTTCTAAACATCCAAATGTACCACCAAGTGACAAAAAAAACACCTTCCAAAACCTCCTTAACTTTCTTCTTCAATTTGACAGAA